AAAAGTCGCATTCAATTTACTTCCACAAATTACAAATTGTTAAATTGAGAGAATAAATGTGTGGACAAATATTTGAGACTTATTTTGGTGTAGACAACTCTCATTTAATAATTTTTCACCATTACAAGTTGTTAAATTGAGAGAATAAATGTATGGACAAGTATTTGAAACTTATTTTGGTGTAGACAACTCTCATTTGATTAATTCCAACAATTACGAGTTCTTAAATTGACAGAATGAATGTATGGACAGATATTGACCATTATATTTGTGAGTAAATACCTGTTGTTTAATTAATTTCAACCTCTACAAGGTTGTTAAATTGAGAGAATAAATGTGTCGACAAATATTTGATACTTATTTAGGTGTAAGAACTCGTGTTTGACCAATTTCCACCATTGCAAGTTGTTAAAATAATGAAATAAATATACTGGTATCATTGGATATTTGATTTAATTGTGAAACTTTCTAACAAAATGTTAACTGCTGGCTTCGAACCCCCAATCAACAATTCTGCAGACACAGTATAAATTCCACAACACCACAGAAGATATTCGTCTGTTGCCTGAATTGTTTTCGTAATATAGGGAATGCCATCGACACTTTAACAAAACTTACCTTGACTTGGGTCTTGTTTATCTCTTGTCACAATCTTGAAATTGTTGAACAAATTGCGCGTCATCCAGTTTAAGATGTACCGGTAAATTATTTTATTATTTATTCATTCAGTTTTGTATGGTGGAGTTTCGTGAGGTTTATTATTTTTTCGCGACGTTCTTTGTTTACTTGTTTACGGTTTGAGAGATTTCAGTTTATTTGATTTACGTTTTTACGGTAGCTCTGAGCGGGACTCGAACCCACTGTCTTTTCAAACTAATTTTGTTTTATTTTGATGGCATGCTTGTGTACCACGACGTTGGTCGTTAAGTGGTGTTCATTTTTCTAACTACTCCAGTGTTCCGACGAGTTGAACGGAAAAGCCAAAACGATTGCTGGTTTCTGATTGCTTCGGTTCTGGTGATTGTGTATCTAGTGTGATTCGAACCCATGTCATTTGTATTGGGCGTTTTTTTATTTCCCATGTTGGCTACGCCGTAATATGCAACCACTTCCCCGTTTCATTGTGATTTTGAGAGTGTTTAATGATGTCTTCCTCACCCGTCACGCCATGACCCAGTTTCAACCACACGGCCATTTTGCAACACAGTGCGTGACCCTCGGCGTCACCCGACTGACTATATGATCGTTCTGTTCAACTGTTAAGCTAGGATTTATTACCGTTATTATCATTATATTGTCACATGATTTGTTTTACCTTATGTATAATGTCTTAAGTATCTTTATTGTAATTTGTATATACCAATTCCTATATACCGAGGAAACGACACTGATTGAAGGTCATGTATTTTGTGACGTCACCAATTCGTGTGTAGGTACGGCTTCTAGATCCGTGCCACCAGTTGTATTTATCTAATATTGGATTAATGAAATACGACTTATTTAAAAAAAGAGTTACTTACGCATTGGCGGATTTAGATGGGGCCCGAGGGGGCCGCGACCCCCCCTATTTTTAACAACCAACATTGCTTCGAGCCATCGGCGCTTGCGAACTTTGCCTTAGGCCAACTTATCGCCCCCCCCCCCCCATTCCAGAATCCTAGATCCGCACTCCAATGATACTAGAACCTGGTACATGTGATGATTAAAATGGGGGGGGGGGGCACTTGGCGACAAGGTTATGATGGCTCTAAGGAGCTCTTTAATAGCATTGTACTATTATTTAAAAAAACATACGATTTAGATTTCAGCCATCGAATGACTTGTTGAATGTTCAAGTCGAGGGACTGTGTCCGGGGACATAATTCGTTGAGGGACAGTGTTCCACACAAGTCAATCAGCCTGATCGTCGCAATCCCGAACTGCAACTACATCTACATCTTCAGTGTACTTACCTCAATGTTATTCGTTGCGACACGCCAGTCGACTGAACGTCTGGTATAAAAACTAACCTACGCCTGAACGGAAACCTTCTGATTTGAATAAAATAATAAGAGAAGTACAGTACGATCGAGCGACACACCGACCACATAAGCATGTGTGACCTCAATGACCCGTACAACGTGACACTTAATACAACTGTAGGTATTGGTTAATTCATATCACATTGTCCAATCAGCGCTACCGTTACATTAATCATAGAGTGATATTTACGCAGGAGATAAAAAAAAACTTTATCAGCGGTTATTTAGCAAAAATTAAAAAATAACTAAAATATTTGATAAATAATCAAGAGGAAAAAAAAACAATAATACAAATAGTGAACTGTTTCAAAACCAGAGAAAAAAAAATCGAAAGCAATAAAGTAAAGCTACCTCAAAATAAGGTCATGTACATGCATTAGTAAACCAAATATTTCACCAACAAAATACGAACAAAAATTCAATTTATTTTTCCATTATTTTTTTGACTTTAATGTAATTTGTTTGTCAGTTTTTGATGTTTTTTTTGTTTGCTTGTTTGTATTTCTTCGCATCTGTATTGCATCTGTATTGTAATCCTATACGAACGCAATACAAATTATTATTATTAACCCTGAATGACGTTTTGTACGCATTTTTGTACGCACTTGGTAAGTTATATACATTATGATATATAGTATCTCTGATAGTATATACTATTTGGTAATCGTTGTCTCAAATAACTATTCAAAATAGCTAGACGTTTCGAGCAATCACGATGGCTCTTTTTCGATAGCATAGAACTTAGAAGAAAGGAAAAAAATACAATAATTCCAAATCGTAAATTGTTAAATAAATCGTACTAAGAGTTCCATCCTAACCCCGCCCCTCCATGGCCCTTTTTTAATTATGTTAGAGATTACACGTATTTGCTGGCTAAGATAGGGTAAAACCAAGTGATAAGGATGGTGATCATAGCTTGTGCAATTCTCCTTCCCAGAGTTCCTTGCGGTAAAAGTAAAAGTCTTGTGGCGTTTCACCATAAGATGGCGGTGTGTGTGGTGCCTCGGCTATAGACAGGGAAGCTGCTGTATTTTTAATTGATTAACATTTTACAGTAAATTGAAAGGTAATGTATAAACTGTCAGCCCACCAAATTGTAGCTGCAGGTAACCTAATTGTTGGTTTCTGGGAAAGCGTGAGGGTGGGACTCAGTCAGAGGCGGGGCGGAGGGGTAGTATGATGACCAAACTCGCGCCCAAGACGCCACCTTACCAGGGGTCCGGGGACATGATTCCCGTTAAAAAATTAAAAATCTAGACCTTCTGAAATCCTCCTACATTTTGCGGGGCAAATTTTGCTGACACAAAGGGTTTGAGCTTGATTTTGGAGGGGCAATCAGAATGCCCCCAACTTTTTTTTCGAGGGATTTTTTTTTTTATCAAGCGATGATTTCCTGTCACCCTGCATATGCTATTCACAGTTGTGAAATTTTGGAAACAAACAGGACTGTACTCGGGGCTAGTAAACAAATTTTACCAAGTGAAGGTTATAGTCAATAATTTTCATTTTAATCAATAAAACTGAATATTGCTTTATCTCCATGATTATATCGAGAATTTGAAGGGTGGTGGTTTTTTTAACTTTTATAAATGTTTTATAAATCTGAGAAAAAAGATTGATAGTTACAGCTATATATTGCCACGTTAACACAACATAAATCAAACTTCGGATTCTGTTGCAAATGCAGGCACAAACCAAAAATCGACATCACTGGATTTCCATTATCCATTATTTCAATCAACCTGACTTTCTTGCAAATGGGATATATAAGTAAAATATATCACTACTTGATATAGTACAGTAAATGACACAATATCAAATCATATTAACAATTCATCAAAATCAAGCATTTCTGCAATTCCGGGATCTTGGTCGTGCTTGGATAGATTTTGTTCATATGTATTTTTATACTCTACATGTAAGTAAGTAATGCCTTTATTGAAATCATATCCTGTTCAAGATCTGGATTTTTAAAATACAATAAAGTTTCAAATACATACAGAATGGCAAGACGAAAAATACAAATGAAGACATAGTGAAAACATAATAAAATCAAATAAAAACTGAGAACAAGGAATGGTTAGAAAAAACAAAACAGAAAAGGTATCTTAATAAGTTATATCAATTATAAAGCAGCTGTTATTTTTTGTTTATGAGTGTCATTTCTTAAATTGAAGCTCTCAAAAATATATTTTGCCATGTATGTGATATATTTGTACTACATCTATCCCAATACTACTTGGTATGTACATTAAATGTTATGGGACCATGAGGCATGTTTGTCAGATCAAAAATCAAATTTGCCCACTACATGTGGCTATTTGTTTTAGTGAGTGCAGTTCTGGAGCCATATCTCTGCCCGCTCATATTTCGTAAACTTGTGGCCGTGTGTGCAAGCATTTGTGCGTCCAGACCTATATGTTAAATATGCCTGGGTCGATTACATTCAAACTTCACACATACATAATATATAATATTATACATATGCACATCAATTTGTGTCGTGATCTGATTTAATATGGCCGAATGTCGACCATTTTTGTGCTGAAAAATCATCAACATCAAGCATTTCGGGCATTCTTGAATTAGCTGTTTACAGATGGATTTGTACAAACGTGGTACATATATTGGACATTATGGGACTTTGATGCACGTCATTTTGTTTTTCAGATCGGATTCAAAATGGCCATTTTGTTTTAACGCATACGGTTCTAGTGCCATATCTCTGACATGCTTTGACTGATTATGTTCAAATTTTATATATTCATTATATGATACTTCATGTCATAGATATACAGATGGACGACCGGTGGCCAGTTTGTTTTAATACATAGTACATACATGGTCCATGATAATGTGCAGGCCTGATAGTTTTTGGTTGAATGACCTAATTTGCGTATTAATTAGCTAACATTTGGCTTTGCATTTATATCTCAACGATTCATCAAATTTCAAACTTAGTACCGGTACTTAGATGCTCTGTTGTAATTTTTTGCTTACTACCTAATTTGCATAAAATTAACCAATTTATAAGTCTCCACAGATATCTTGAGTATCACTCAGCAAATTTTAATGAAAACAGATCTGATTACTTCAAGTTTGAAATCCATGCATATTAATTACCTACATTGTATGATCACTTGTCGTCCTTAATATGCATAACTGTAATAAAATTGCTTTATTTTCGCTTAGAATTAATTTTTGCTATTTTCGCTGAAGGAGTGGTTCCGGTAAAAATAAAATCCAGCGAATATACCTGTTTTCCTATATTTTACATTCAACTTGTCAAAAATCAGTGAAATTAAATTCCATGGAAAACACACAAATAGTCCTTTCAGCAAAAATTAAATCCAGCTAAAATAAAGTGTTTTACAGTATCTCTAGCACTGTTGCAGATAAGAACATTTAACTAGTGCTGTAAGTATAATGGTCAAAGGATATGACTATGAAATGTCCAATAATATGCATACTGACAGGGATTTTTTTAAACAAGGGAACAGGGGCGCAGGCGCCCTCATGCCATGGCCATGCGCCCCCTTACCCTTGCAGATCCTCTGGCAACCATAACATTCTGATTAGGGATCACATGGGGCCATAGTCTTCAACAGTGACCTGTCTGATAGTAATTTTGATCCAAAGGAAGCCATCGAATGCTCCATTTTAACTTAGAATTATCAATAACTCCACATCCTGGTAGGGAGAACCCTACATGTATCTCCCCCACTTGGTGGCACGGCTGAATTACAGTGCTCCCTCTTGCAGTTTTTTTTTTTAGAAAAACCCCTGTACCGGTAACTGTAACACTAGTATCTTAAGTGCTGTTGCAGATAATTTTGTCCTTGGGCTAAATATATGACCAAAATATCAAGTCATCATATATGGTCATTGTTTTCTTAAATATTTATAATTGTTAAACCATAGCTATTTGGAACCACCCTGCAGCTATATTTTCAAAACTTGTATTCGCTTTAATAGAAGCACATGTACTTGTAAATTTAAATGGCAAAAGTAAGTGTATAGTCAAAATAAGACGTATGTAAAGATGAAATTGAAGATGTGTTTCTAATATAGTAAATACAGTATTCCTTATTTGTACCATACTTCATGCCTCCATTACCTTCAGCACACAGGAGTTTTTTCCAAGCTTTTTTTGATACAAAATTGGTTATTACAATCACTTTTATCACCTTGACAATATGGAATTGTTAAGTGGTTCATTTGGCTTTTAATACTGTAAAATGCTTAATTTTCACTGGGTTTAAATTTTGCTGATTTACCATTTCAGGCATATTCAGTGGGTTTTAAATTCACGGTTTTATCATTTAGATAATGTGTTCTATATGGTCAATTTTGCATATTCACTGGGTTTTAAAGCAAATAAGCAAAATAAAAACCCAGTGAATGATTAAGCCTTTTACAGTAGTTAATTTTTCAACAGTAACCTAATCCTATCTCACTTACTGGTAGTTGTTAAAATATGCAAAAATTAGGCCAAATATTTGTTCATATGCTGGTAGGATAACAAACTTGTTATCTTTCTTTTCTCTCCCATTTCTTAGTAGCTTTCTTGAATGTGCAAAAAGAGTCTCCTCACCCACCAAACACCCCCCACCCCTCACCCCCTAAAAACATCAGCAGTCACTCCTATTGGCTACTATGGCTACTCTCTGATGGTGAAAAGCAATGCCAAAATTAATTATAAATGACATTAAAGAAAAACAGAAAATTAATTATAAAATAAAACACTGACCCATGAGCCTAAAAATCCAAAATTCAAGTATTTCTGTGTTCACTCCCCCTACATAAAATCTATTCTCATGTTTTATTCATGACATACATATCCCTCATTGATGGGCTACCACCCCTATTCTAGAATAGTATTGCCCATCCAGCTGTCAATTAGCCTATCCATACTCACTGTGTATATCATTTACTCTCCAGATACTAGCCTTGGATACCTTGTGGGTCATTCAAATAAAATTCAAATGATTCATTTTTTTTATGCGAATTGAAATTAATTTAACAGGTTTGGTTTTTAGCCAGAATTAATTTCATCACAGTGTTGAAATCTCAGCCCTAATTAAAATTACATGGGTTTTATGAATATGTAATTTGGCTAACATTTTCTCAGATTTTATAATATTAGGGAATAATATGGGCTTGTTTGACGGCTTGTTATCTAATAAAAAATATAATGACTTTTTTTCAATTTGATTCGCTTACTCTACATCTTAATCGATTTTTGTAAAACCATGCAGCTATATGATTTGAAAATATAGTTAATAGTGACGCTAGTCAAAAAAGACCCTTTACACTATGTTGATGATGTTAATTTTCAGCAACTCATCTAAATATTAATTTCCTGTTGTGTGCATACTGGAATGTTCATTTGATTTCACTAGAACCCTGTTAAAGGTCACAGAGCACTTGCAGTCTCAGGCTATCACCCCCATTTCAATAATGGTAACTTCTCACTTTAATGTATTTTACCTAAATTCAGAATATATTGGTAGGTCTTCAGTGGGTGTTTCTCACTCAGTGCTTACCTTCTTGTCCACCTTGCCTTACTGCCACTCCATGATTGATTGATTGGTTTCTTCAGCGTCTATTTTGCATTCTCCTGTATAGAAACGAAATTGTTTTTTTCTGAAGAAGGCAACAGCAGTTTTTCTAGGTTAAAAATATGTAAGTATATGTCTGCATGCATATCAGCTGTTTAACCATTTTGTTGTGTTGTATCCCTACATTTTTTTATATCATTTATAAGTCAGCTACATATAATGGTGTTGAATTAATTAACGTATCAGCCAGCTCTATCAACATTTATTTCTTCAATTTATTTTGCATTGGGGAATAAGTAGTTTTGACTTCATTCAATATTAATGAAAAAATGTCAAATAATTTGCAAAATTTGATATTTTTTCATCTCGTACATTATTTTTAAAATTTCTATTTCATCTTTGTTGAATCTTAAAAAAAATATTATTTTAAAATAAAAGCGATTTATTTATCATGTTAATGAATGCAGGATATGGCTCTCTCCCATTTATTTACTTTTAATACAATCTGTTCATAGTGGCATACTGGAAAATTGTCGGTTAAAAGAATGGCTTCTTTATTTTGTGAACAAGCTTTGAAAGGCAGTAGAGGCCCAATTGTAATATCACTATTTAATCTAATCATACATTCAATGGGCTGGAGTTGAATATTCATGCTAGTCTTCAACGAAGCCTTAAATGCATGTGTGACAAGGTCCACCAATATGAGACAGGTAAATTGACCAGTTTATACGCACATGGAATAACCAATATTGAATTAAATTTAGTTTCCTTCCATCGCTGCACTTAAAAAGATCATTTTGAATTGCGTGATTTGTGTGTGTATGGTTGCCGGCGAGTTGTTTCCTGCTGTTTTTTTAAATAATCAATTATTAAGCTTTGAAAATTGCTTCTGTTTAATTTGCTGTCTGCATGCCACATCTGAAATTCCCAGCTCAGGTTAAACCTTTATTTTAAATGTTCTTGAGTGATTCATCATTCAAAAGATTTTTTTTTATTTCTGCTTGGTGATGTTCTTGGCTTTTTGCTCTGTGTAGCATTCTTAAGTAGTTGGAGAAAAGATAAAAACATTTAATACTTAATTCTTATCTTGAAGGCCCTTAATAAAGCTTGCATGCACTTTACCACTGCTGTAAATATGTTAGGAGCGTCTTCCAAATATAAAGAAAGCCAATTCAAACAACTATAATTAATGTTTCATCAACACTAAAAGCTGTGTATAATAAAATATATTGAAGTTTTGATGTAATTTTTGAAACTAAAAAGCTGCGTAGTTCCCAGCAGTTCTGCAAAGCATCTTGGGTATTAATGGAGGCCCGCTCAAGGGAGAGCTTTATACATGCATGTCAGCCAGTAGTGTTTTAATCAAACATGGAATTTTTTCTATCCTCTTAGCGCTGATACTACACGATTTGGAAATTTGGATAGTTCTCTTGGGTATTGTAAATCATACTGTTTCAATCCCCAATTGCGAAAAAAAGTACAATCCAGAAGTAAAAATCGTGCAGCACATTTCAATTATTTAGTCTCGATGGTTTTGAAATCCTCAGCGATCAATATATACTTCTGGTTGATGTTTTTCATGCTTAAATGTACTGTTACCAGTCTATATCTGGTTGCAGATGTTGATCCAGAAGTGTCATCTGGACTGCTTTGATCGTTGTAGCTATACATACATAGATGTAAGTGACAGCTGAATATTGTCTGTTTCCATGGTAACAAAACTGAAACGAAAATGCATTTGCTTCCACGGTAAAGGAGTTCTCCAATCTCAATCTATTCTCCCATGAAGTGGTTACTTGATGCGTTTTAATTGAACCTAGCATTACTTGATTAATAGATATTCAATGTTTCTAAGGAGACTTTGTGATTTTGCATTGGCCTGCAGTTGGAGTCATCTAGATTTTAAAAGAGCTGTAGATATCACAGCTGTAAGTGACCCATGAGATGCATGGTTACTTGATGTATTTTAATTGAACCCAGCATTATTTGATTGATAAATATACAACGTTTCTGAGGAATCTTTGTGATTTTGCGTTGGCCTGCAGCTGGAGTCATCTAGATTCTAAAAGAGCTGTGAATATCATAGCTGTAAGTTATAATTAACATGCATTCACAACAATATGTCTTTTAAAATTTCAACATTGTGCTGTTTTTGATTTGTGACAAAAATCAAATTGACATGCATGCACCCAGCTAATATTTTGTGTTCTTCTTTAGAAACCTGGAACACAAAATTGCCTTTTGGAGAAAGAGTAATCACATACGGAATTAAAAAAACAAAAAAATATTTATAAAAGATAAATATTTAGTACATGATAAGAGTCAATTCAGAGATAATTTGTTTCTTCAGTTGTTCATTCAGTATCCTCGGGTATCCACGTTGCTAAGACACGCACCACTGTACCATGTATTTCTATGGGCTCTACGTGGGCTGGTGTGGAACACTGGTCGAAGAGCCGGTAAAAATAACTAAATTTGAAAACAGCACAAAATCAACTTTGAAGTAATCCTGGACAACCAAATGTATATATGTTGGACATGCAGGAGGTAATCTTGTTACACTGTTCAGGGGAGTCTCAACAACCATTCCAAAGTACCCTTTTCTGAAAGTTTTTGGCCTTTGTTTGCATTGTGATGGTTGCCAGGTGGTGAAAATGCCTGGATGTCTGCTCCCGAGAATACATGTATCATTATATGGCAGTGGGATTCTGCTTAATTCATCCCTACCTCCTTCCCTCCCTCCAGTATGTTATTCACTTAGTGAGTGATCAAGTGGCATATGCATGTTTGTTTAGCTTGAATCTGAGAGAGAGAGAGAGAGAGAGAGAGAGAGATAAGGAATTATTATTCTCTACCATCGTTACCTCTAGATCTCAGGTCATTTTTGATGAATTAGAAGTGTGCTGCAAAAATATTGATCCAAAATGATAAGATTTGTAGTATAGTTTCTATTGATTTGTGGATATTCATTGATTGATACAGCGATAGACTGTTTTAACATTTGGTTTCTCGAGCTATTATGCGATGGCGATACGCCAACCTGATATCAAGCTATTATGCGATGGCGATACGCCAACCTGATATCAAGCTATTATGCGATGGCGATACGCCAACCTGATATCAAGCTATTATGGGATGGCGATACGCCCACCTGATATATAGTCCTGCTATATAATAGAATAATAAAAGCTGAATTAAATGTAATTCTGAAATGTTGTCTTCTTTTCCCATGTATATGTAATTTCCATAATATAATATAATATAATATAATATAATATAATATAATATAATATAATATAATATAATATAATATAATATAATATAATATAATATAATATAATATAATATAATATACATAATATTTTGTGGTCGAGCTGTTTTGTCAATAAAATTTCTTCATAAACTGTCAAAATTGTTGTTATATTGTAAGCTAAATTTGTTCACATAGAAATACAATTTATTTTGTGTTGTGAAATGTTAATCCATTTTAGAGTTCCAAGAAAAATGTATATATTTTTGTTCCTGTACCATATTTGCTCCATTGAAAGGTCATCTCCAATATAAACTAAAAATTGCTTGTTTTGTATATAATGAATCATTAAAATATGATTTAGGTTTTTCCATAAAAAAAACACATGTAATATACATAATTGCATGTGCTTCTAATAGAGCAAATATAGTAATAATATTAATAATAATAACTTTATTGACAATTTAAGTTATCCTTATTGGAAGTTTCATCAAGTACAATAAAGTGAGATGAAAAAGATAAACAAAAATAACAAGACAAAAAAAAATGAAAGAAAGAAAATACAATCTAAATTAATACATGTACATTTCCTTGCATGTAATGCTTCTCTCTTTCTTTAGTAGGATGACACATTTTTGCCAAAATTAACCATGAATAGCTTTGTGTTGTGTTTTAGCTCTGAATTAGTGGTGGTGCTTTATTGATTCGAGACTAACAAGACTTGATCTTCGCCAATAATCTAGATGATGAAATCTGGTCAGAGAATAATTTTTAGTGAATACATTTGATAAATGATAATTAAATAATGGATAATACATTAATAATAACTTGTACGTCGGATGTACAGGAACTTTTGACCTCAGTAATTTATATAGCTGTTATACATTACATATAAACTCCTAAATCAACAAGGAGTTTCATTTTAAATGGTATCTAGAAATCTGTATTGAATGAAATTATGAATTTAAAGATTATGGAAAATATGAAATATGAATATCAAATATTACCATGATTGAGTTGTATTTGACTCAAAATTAAATTGATATTACTAATGTATACATGAATAGATGTAATATACTTGGGTATCATTTTGCTTTTGATCCAATCAAAAATTGCCTACAGGCAGCCATTTTATTTTAAGTGGTTCATGCTTTGTACATAAACAACCCTGGCATGAAATTAATTTTGTTCAAACAAAAATTTATTACCAGGTATTTATATGCCATTTACATAATTTGACATGGCTTATTCTACTGTGGTCACTCATTTGGTACCATAAAGTAGTTTTAGCCTAGTATTAAAAAACAGTTGATGACAAATGCTGCTTGTGTCTCTTCAACACATTGCGGAATTGTTTCCATATTTAGCGTTGAGTCATTGTAGTAATATAAATTGCCCTCCTCCGCCTTCACTTAATTGAGATTTGATGTATCAGATAAAGCCTGACTATAAGGACTCTTCTGGGATATAACCCAAGATAAAAATGTCGAGGCTGCAGAAGAGTCAGAGTAGGAGGTCTTTTTGTGGCAAAACCCACCACCCCAAACCACAGTCCCTAGCTCAACTGTGACTGTGCCCAAACCATCTATAGATATATTTGTTGTGGAAATTTTCTTACTTCTGATGGCCTTCAGGGAGTTCTGTAGTAATTTTGCACAAAATTCATATTATGAAAGGGGTTCATGCATCTATTTTCAAATGGAATATGCTATAAAAATGCTCCAACCTTTGTTGCGCAGTGCGTAATGCACCAATCTGAACAGGTGGTCATTGTTCTCATGCAATTTACATACTGAAATTAAGGTGAGCCATATGCACAAGATCTACATAATGATCAACTTATGAATATTCATGATCTAACACACAAAAAATCATAGTATAAAATAACCTAAAAACCAATGGCCGTTATCAAGTTTCAGATGAGCATTGTGTCTATAAGACAGACCAAGTATAAAACTTGGCCAGTGTTAATCTGTATAAAAGTCCTAGGATAATGTACAAGATTCTGATTGGTCAAGATTGCGTTTTTAAGGTGTGCACTCATTGCATGCTTTATGTCATTTCTATCGCACTTTGGGGGAATTCTGTGAAAATACACGAGGCTCTTTCGTTACTCTGAAAATACATGAAGCTTCTTAAGTCGCCTCACATATTATTTTTGAACTATTGGAGAAGCAAATGAATGTCTTGCAGTACCTTGACATAAATATTTTGTATATTGAAAGACAAAAGTCTTTATTCGCCACTGGAGAGAAATTAAATGAATGACAACTGATATTGAGAGCTTATTTGTTTTGCCCATTGTTAATAAAATATATTGACACGTATCACACATCCAAGTTCAAGCTAAAGATGTAGTTTATTAAGGTATTTAATTAGTAAGCAATTCTATTACTAGGAAACAAGTCAATTGAATTTTATTACTTTTCATGTTCTTGTTGGCTGACTCGTCGCTTACCATGCATTATATATTTTAATATGTAGATTATTGGATTGCGTTGTCATGCATTGGTGAACCTGAAGTTGTAAAGAACAAGACAATACAATGAGTAGCCTTGGGATGAATCGATGTGACATCGTGGGCGCAAACTCCACACAGTTGGCTTATTTGCTGTATGGTGGAATTCCACAGAACTTAGGATTTAACGTGCTCTGCTGGGCTGTAAGTCATATTTAATTTATTAACTTTTTATTAGCCTTGCTGTCGAATTTGTCGAGCAGAGCTCATCATATGAGTGATTGTCGTCCTCGCCCGTCGTTCGAGTCAACTTTCTACTTGAAAATTACAAACCTGATTGCTTGGGGTATATGCACCTTGGGTAGACTTAGATTTGTTCATTTCATGAGGATATCTTTAATTGTCTAATTTTGGTGAATATCTTTGTAATTTTTGGTAAAAAGTCATATTTTTGTGTTCTTGTTTAAGACGATTGCCTTGATAGTATACATATAGGCACCTCAAGTAGACCGATCTCAGATTTGTTCATTTTGTGATGATATCTTCAATTCTTTAATTGAAATGTGCATTGCTAACAGCGGAGCTATCTCAGCCAATAGGCTGCTTGTTTAAAAAATATTTACAGACAATATTGACCAACGTTTAAAAGAAAAAATTATTTTTGGTATACAGATGGATGAGAGTGAAGCGCATAGTTTCAGTTTACTCATTCGATTTCCTTATAAGGAGCTATATGGGATTGTGGGTAATATTTTAACCATTTTTTGCTGCCAGATTTATTTATCAATGGTGACGTAAATTCATATATCGCAGTGATAAATGATAATCTCTTTGAAACCTTCAGAACATTTATCTACGCAACTTTTACAATATGTCAATTTAAACAAATATTTTGATTTGATTTGATTTTTAACTATAAAAGCTATTATTTCTTAATATAGAGATGTATTAATAATGGAAATTAAAATATTCAAATTGTTGTCAACATTTTTATCTACATTTCACAAAGTTGGTCACAATTCTTTTCATGAAATTTTGTCCTCAAGAACACCATTAAATCATCAATTCTTGATAATGCCTAGTGGTGAAAATAATACAATTTACCGGTACACATGATTATTATGTAAAATTGTGAGTAATACTTTATCAATTCTTTCAGTAGTAAGAGTACTTAAATTTGAGTTTTCAATCTTGCGAATAAAATACATGTTAAACTATAATAACTCCCAGTGGGTTTCCTTTCATGTTATCTATACATTTACATGTACCATTACTCAAAATGCCATGCACATATCCTTCTCTTGCATTCAGACTTTGTAGTGGATAAGATCTTCACTCTTGAAATTTGGTTTGAACTTAAATTTAAAGCGCCATGTGCAATGACTTAAATTTTAAAACAAACAAGGCGACTGATTTAGTTTTTCATTCAATTTTCATTTTCAGTTCTTGGATCTTCGGTTTAATTATCTTTTCCACTCTGTAACTCTTAATCACTAAATCCCTCACACATGCGGAAGTTATTTTCCCATTAAAAGATTATTACTGAATATTGTGACCTCATTCTAGAATATGCTAATCATGATTTCTGAAGTTGAATGCTGACTTGAATTATTTCCTTCTGGAATCATTTCCTTCACCTACAAGGTTGCACCTGTTGCCACTTGTTGTTCATTGGGTGATTTTTCAAAATTTTTTTTTAGTTTGACAAGATTTTTTGGTTTTGCAAGGTTAAAATTGGATCATTAAATTATGACATTAGTAGTTTGACCATTTACCGGTATATAAGATTACTGTGGAATACTTTATTTTCGCTAGAATTAATTTTCGCTGAAAAGGCTTTTCGGGCATTTTGTATGGAATTTATTTTCACTGATTTTTGATCAGTTTAATGTGAAATATAGGAAAAAAAGTATATTCGGTGGATTTTATTTTCACAGAATCATCCCTCCAGCGAAAATAGCGAAAATAAATTCCAAGCGAAAATAAAGTAGTCTACAGTATTAGTCCGAAGTTTGAAATGGGGACTCATAATTCGATTTCCGTTCGTTCATCCATTCGGGGTCGTATTTCAGAATCCTGTGGACCAAATCTGATATTTTTTGCATGTGCCTAGTACTTTACCTGGGACATATGCACATGCAGTGGTTTACTGATTCAATCGAAATAGCTGACTGGCACCCATTTTGTTTTTTGAAAATGTGATATCTTATGCATGCTTTGTTATTTTCATATTATATAAGATAAGATAATTCTTACTTACAACCATATTGAAAGGAATTCAATTTAGGTGAATACAAATGTAATAAAGGTATAACAATCTATTCTAAAAAACTAAAACTATACTTATAATAAAGATACAGTAAAGAAATACTACTGGTACTTGAAGATAAAAATTAAAATATTACATTTCCATGAGTTTTTGTTTAACATTGATAATATTGTTTTCTTGTCATATATGCTGTTTTTATGTATTTAATTTAATATACCGTACTTCCCCGAACATAAGCCCCTCCCCGAGTATAAGCCCACCCTCTGTTTTTAGACATTTAACAGGTTGAGGGCATCCCCGAGTATAGGCCCAGGGTGTTTTTACCGGGCGTCAACAACAACATTTATTACAAATATGCATGTAAAAAGTGTATTTCATTGAATAATAATCGTGATAGGTACGGTAGTTTGGTTCCTGCTTTTACGAGAAAACTCGAGTGCATGGCCGGTGAACGTATGAAACATGGTTCGGACCTTTTCTATTCTGATATTTACTCAGGATGAACCCTGATGTTGCAATACTGAAGCAATCCATATTTCTTTTGAGTAGTGGTTTTAGAAACGCCAAAAATGTGATCGTCAAGTCGTGAAACCTGATCATTGAACATTGTTTTACTTTTCCGAATAATCGTGTCCATTGAGACTATCGTGAATGGGATCATGATGTGAACGAGCAAACTATTCTTCGACATGACTTGTTGGCGACCGTGAAAAGTTTAATTACTTCCTCCACCCTCAGTTTACCTTTCGAAAATTGCGAATCAACAGCTTTAAGGAAAAAATCACCGTTTTTTGTCGAAATCAGATCGCATTTTAACATCGCGGTAATTTACTTCCACATTGCGTTGAAAAAATGACTTCGTCAATAATCAGAAAACTTTGTTTGTACGACACAGCATTTTGATTGGTTAACCAAAGACGTGACCTGTTAGGTCAAAGGAAATTGTTCAGGTCAAATCATCATGAAAAACACCATGGCGGAAATTGGATTGTATCTAGAGATTGCGTACGATCGAAAACATTCCACATTGAAGATATTAACGATAAAGTTTTGCCTTCAACTGTTTTCCCACAGACCCTACCCATTTTGCATCGTAAATTCAGACAGTATGTAAACCGTATTGTCATAAAATGTGTGTATTTTGATGAACACGTTTGTTTCTTCATTTTAAAAAGTGTTGTGGAAATCAAAAAGATAGCGCTGTGAACGAAAAATGTAATTTGGATAATTTTTCGTGGTTGGGAAGATGGTTACAATTTTAAACCCCCCAAAAAATTATCTTTTTTGAGGTGGTCCTCGAGTATAAGCCCACCCCCTAATTTTCCCGATTTTACATGTTCAGGCCCCTGGGCTTATACTCGGGGAAGTACGGTACATGATACATGTTAGGATACATGTCCAAACCGATCTGTTTTACAATCGGATCAAAGATGGCCATCTGGAGGCCATCTTGCTTTTTGACCATACTACTATATCTTCAAGGCTGTTGGTCCATTTTCATTCATATTTGGCACATAGATCATACATATAGGAATATGTTCATGTCATGTCAGTTTGTTCAGATCAGATCAAAGACTGGCATCCCCCTTGTTTTTTGAAAATATGTTGGACAGGATTTGTTGGTTTTCGTTCAAATTTGATAGAAACATTATACATGTTGAGATACATGTCTATAATGATTAATTTTGTGTTTGACTCCAAAATGACCAACTAGCTGCCATCTTGTTTTTCAAAATGTATCGTTGACAAGTTTTTTCTCTCTTCAAATTATGCATGTTAAGATACATGACAATTAGTTTTCACAATCAGACCAAAGATGGTTGACTGCCTGCAATCTTTGTTTGACTATCTGATTCGAAATGGCCAAGTGGTGGCCATTCATTATCAAAAATAAAGCATTTCTGCATTGTGTAACCGGATCTTTGTCGTTTATTGATGGATTTTGTTCAAACTTGGTACATACATAAGACATTATGGGTCTCTGATGCACGTCATTTTATTTTTCAAAATTTTCTGATTCAAAATGGCTGACTGGTGGCCATTTTGTTTTAATGAATGTGGTTCTAGAGCCGTATCTCTGACATGATTTGTCATTCTACATCATGTTATAGATATACAGATGTATTCAAAATGAATGAGTAGTGACTATTTTGTTTTAATTAATGCTGTTCCACAGCAATATCTCTCAATATGGACAAATACTCCTTTGACGATCAGATACAAAATGACTGAATGTCAATTATTTCAGTGTTAACAAATCACCTTAATCAAGCATCAGCTTCTGGATCAATATCTCTGACATGTTTATGTTTGAACTATATTACTGTAAACAAAATATTATATTTTAAGTTTGATAACTAACAGGGACTGTGCTATGCATGGCTTGTTACATATAATTTCTGTTGATATTAGACCAACCAATTATTTGCTCTCACTTACTATGCTTTTGTTTCATATTACTTTATTTTTGGCATGAATAACACTTCTCCTAATTCAAACGGGGACTTTGTCATTAACAATGACTTGTTACGAAAACATTACGTATGCGTTTACATGTCTCTATTTAGAAAATGTGCGGCACTTTCACCTCACATTTAAACACTTTGTTTACAGCAAATGCGGAATTGTTAGATGGCGTGTGATGAATATAGAGGCGCATGACTGAAAGCAAAACGTTCACACAGCACAAAATATTTTTCATTGCATTTCAGGCTGATACAAGCAGTAGTATACTAGTAGGTCACCAGGAGAATGCCGCAAATTATGCACTCAGGCAGTATGGAAATGCAGCAACCTCTGCTACACATCAGTCGTTATGTTCGCATTACTGCCTTTGTGCATATACTTTGCGGTATTCTCTATAACCTCATATGCTACTAATTTACCCAAATATGGTAGTGTTAATTGATTGGTGGATACACAGCATTCACAATTACTCTAAACTAATATAACATGAAATAGAATTTGCAAGTGATGATATTTCACATACTTTGCAGTATTCTTGGGATAACATTGTTAATTTATACATTTTCCTGTTTGTAGTAATAATTGAATGAGAGATAACAGCCCAAAATAACAACAAAAAACATTTTGTGTTGTGTAAACTCTTGCATTCAGTGATGGCATTTTAGTGCTTCTGTGTTTAATGTAAACTCAGAAAAGTATTTGAATATGACATCAATAACCTTAAATGCATCAATGTTCGTCACATAGTTTACAACAATTTGATTGTTTGAATGGGTGCTGATAAATTTTGGAATGAAATCCATGTCTTTACAAAACTATAAATGTTGGTGTAAGATGTATAATAATAATAAGAAGTTAATTCCTGATAGTAACTCTATATGAGACAAAAACATTTGTTTTGGTGAGATATTAACATTTTTTTATTTTATTTTGCTCGTTAGATTGTTCTGCTGTTGTTTTCGCTGTTTCGAAAAGTGGCCGGTGATTATGGGAGGATAGCACTTGTGCAGCGCGGAGAGGAGAAGTGAGTACATTTATTTAGTATGCATTTTAATGGTGGTTAAAGATGCCTGTTTACCTGTTCACCTGCTTTCCTTCTTTTTGCCCCAATGCTGAGACAAAGGTCAAGACTGTACGGATGTTGCATGTATGTTTGTATTCACCTTTGGTGAGGTACATTGCATGCGGTGAGGCCAGACTAAAACAGATTTTTGTTTGTCAGATTTTTATTGCAGAAACCAAGTTAAATTTAAAGCCTCGTATAAACAAAGATGGCGACTTTGACTTTTGCGCAGATCAACGAGTACGAATTGAGACGTTTCCAAGCTTTAATTAGGTAATTTTCATGTGATTGGAAGGTATCGAAGGAGTCACTGACGGTAATCAGTGCAAGTCGCGCTCAGGTCAAACCTCGTACTTGTGATTTCCATTTGAAGAGCGCATTGGATTGTGGGAAAATCAATATTTATCAACACAAATGTCGTACATGCACGACGACTACCGTGCTTTAACAAGCATTCATGAATATTTGCAATTAAAACACATGTTTCATTTCACTCTCATACAAGTGATACTGCAATTGCATGTATAGTATAAACTCAATGCCATATTTGCTCTATAACAAAAACATTCCCGATCATAAAAAGCTCACTCAAACCAAGAAATGCTGTTTTTGGACACTGTATCATGAGAAATTTGACCATAGACATAAATTGAATGCGTTACTAATAGAGCAAATATGGTAATAAAGAGTGGACGCTTAGTCTAAACTTAGAATCATCACTTGAAAGATCTTTAAATAAAAAAAACCTTGCTAATCAATCAAATTTACTAATCTCATTTGTGTTTAATTTAGATAAAGTACATATTATAAATTGTTAAATTGGGAGTCATATAACAATAGACCCTTTAATTACAGGAATCTATTTTTCAGCTGTAAAATTAATTGCAAAACTTTGAATTTTTTGAAGGTTAAATGCATGCACAGCATTTGTCATCTTAGTGTTACCATTACATTTGCCTCGTATATCAAAACGATTTTCATGCAAGAATTCACATCATTGTATAGCGACCAGGGTTCTGTAATCGTGAGAGAAAAGCTGCATGAAATGAAATGTTTTTTTTCACAGAGAAGAACTAATACATATATATGGTTTGAATATGGTCTGTAATGTGTATAGTCAGTAATTTAAAGTGTGAATATCATTCATGCCATATCAGCAATTGACTTGCGTCAGCGAGGATCGAATGACACCATGTACCGTATGTTTATTCATACGTATGTGGTGTGGTTATTCTTAATAAAAATTCTGCATGTTAGGTTGATCTATCAAACTACACATTTTTTGCCCTTGAAACATTATTATATGTACAGGAATTATCGTATTAATGGCTTAGCAATATATGGTACATTTCCGTTCGCATTCAAAGGAAATCGCATTTCCCCAGGAGAATTAATAGTCAGTTTGCATGTTTTCACAGACATAGTCGATTGCAAGCATAGTCAATCAATGTCGATAGATTTAACAAGTTTGTATTGCATTTTTATTAACTGTCCAAATTCATATGAGGATTTCAAGTTTTGAATGTTAGCCTAATTAATTGCCAACAGAGAGTGGCCTTGTGTCGAGAGTACCATCGAGGCATGACTTGCAGCAACTTGTACTGATTCAGGAGAAAGCATCAACGATAGAAGTATATGTAAGATCTCAGTGGGGACGCCTCTTAATTCATTTGCTTTGTGTGGCCTCATTTGATTTACAACTTCATCATTATCCACCATTATGTGGAGAGTTCTTTGAAATGCAATGTACTTTCCATGTAACAGACAAATGTTTTTGTTACCTCAGCCTATACTTATATTGCTGTTCAACACTCGTGCATTTTATTGTATTTTCTTAAATGTACACAGATCAGGATTTAATGTTATCTTAAGATTTCAGCTTTTAATTGTTGATAGTAGTTTCAATTAATTAAATACTAAATTGGCTGCATTCAGCTGTTCTTCGATCGTATGTCTTTGTTATCGTAATCAATAAATACTAAACTGTCACTTGAAATGATGTAATCCAATTTAAAACAGTCAAATAGCTATAAATAGGATATTAGACATTCGTAGTAAAATGCTCAGATTCTAAAACTTGAACTACAAAAGGTTAGTTTAGTTTAGACAGGCCTATATATATATATATATAACGAGTCTCATATAATCGTAATTTGACTTGCATTTCATTATATTGAGTTAATTAATAATTACCAAGGCATCCAACCATGCAGGTAAATTTTCTAAACCTTACAGCGTGTTTCGATAATAACGTCAATTTATATTTCATGCATACTTCTTTGTTCAAAGCCTTTTATTTGCAGTAACTTAGCCATGATCATATCACCATGGTGATACAAATACATGTTCTCAGTATCCGTTTTGAAAAATTACCGATAGTAGAATCATTGTCGTATTCCAGGTAACAATGGCTCTGTGAATATTTGTGTCACGATAATAGTGTTTCATATGCGAGTATGGTTGGATTTGCTTTTCAGTGTATTAAGCGAGGGAAGTAGTAATTCACCTGTGACGTATATGTGCCAGAAGCTACTTCCTTGTCATTAAAGGAATTAGAACCTTTGACATTTATCTTCTTTCTTTTTTTCTGACATAGATCATGTAAACCCATTCATCTAATATATTATTCAGATCAGTGTATTTCACTTCATTTCTAGCTGTCTCATTATGCTTCCATGCATGCTCGTGAATATTGATAAATTTATAAATTACCTCTTGAGACCTTTTACAAACATTGTTCTGTGATAATGGTATATATTGATTGATTGATATAAATAGCTGAGTTTGGTTGAGTGTCTGTAATATTGTAAGTGTGTGGAAATATTGCTAACATATGCTGTATGTGCTGTTTTTAAAGACAAATACATCATCTGACCATTTCTGACCTCTGTGTACTGATTATATTTATAAAGCATGTAATACAGTGATTGCATGAGAAATGCAAAGGTATAAACTAAACTTGGTGTATTCTTTCCCTTTTCAATGGACAGCGATAATTAAGCAGAGCTCGCTAATTTTTTTGTTCAAATTTGAGTGAAGTAATGTATCTCAGTTCTTGTAACATGATTTTGAACAAATGACATACATTGAAACTGCACGTCATACTGGATTAAATAACACGATGTTTTTTCCCTCCCTGTCTGATCTTCTCCTGGTGCGTATTGTGGTGTATTTATACGATGGTAAGCGGTTGTAATTGTAGTTTAGAAATACACATGAAACCTAGCGCAATTAAAAGTTGGAACAAAACTGTAATTTTCTACTTGGAAAATCTCTTTCCCAATTTCTTGATTTTTAGAGCAAAAGTGTGATACTTTACAAAGTAGTCAACAAATCTATAAATCTTATAAATTATTTATAAACTTAAACGTAAGATTTTGTTAATTAATGCAGTACTGTGAGATCATGGTGAGGCAGTAAAGTGTTGACCAATCACACGAGCTGTCTCATTGATGTTCCAGTGCCAGTGATTCTCAGAATTCAGGAAGGTACCTGTCTACCAAATCCAATTGTATTGTTTGAATTTGACTTTATTCAATTGGGTTTATAATTGTTTATCTGCGTATTTACAACTACAAACATGTGCTTGTTGACTGCAGTGTTGTGAAAAAATGTGTAATGCTCAACTCAAATTTTTTTCTTCTGTGATAAACATGAATGTTCCAACTTCTAATTGGAAGTGTTGATACCACATGCTGTTCACCTTATGTTTTATTCTTTTAATATTTCGATAAATTTATTTTCATTTATTCACATCATTCATTGCATGTAGTTCATTAAATAGGTAGGTTTTTATTTATTTACATCATTGCATGTAGTTCATTAAATAGGTAGTTTTTATTTATTTACATCATTGCATGTAGTTCATTACATACTAGGTAGGTTTTTATTTATTTACATCATTGCATGTAGTTCATTACATACTAGGTAGGTTTTTATTTATTTACATCATTGCATGTAGTTCATTACATACTAGGTAGGTTTTTATTTATTTACATCATTGCATGTAGTTCATTACATACTAGGTAGGTTTTTATTTATTTAAATCATTGCATGTAGTTCATTAAATAGGTAGGTTTTTATTTATTTACATCATTGCATGTAGTTCATTAAATAGGTAGGTTTTTATTTATTTACATCATTGCATGTAGTTCATTAGGTAGGTTTTTATTTATTTACATCATTGCATGTAGTTCATTGTATAGGTAGGTTTTTATTTATTTATTTACATCATTGCATGTAGTTCATTAGGTAGGTTTTTATTTATTTACATCATTGCATGTAGTTCATTGTATAGGTAGGTTTTTATTTATTTACATCATTGCATGTAGTTCATTGTATAGGTAGGTTTTTATTTATTTACATCATTACATGTAGTTCATTAGGTAGGTTTTTATTTATTTACATCATTGCATGTAGTTCATTGTATAGGTAGGTTTTTATTTATTTACATCACTGCATGTAGTTCATTACATACTAGGTAGGTTTTTATTTATTTACATCATTGCATGTAGTTCATTACATAGGTAGGTTTTTATTTATTTATTTATATATTTATTTATTTACATTATTTACATTATTTATTTATTTATTTTTTTACACAACTCACAACTCGATAAATGTTTATATTTTAACTATTGATCAGTTAATATATTCAACCATTATTTTCTCATTACAAAATTCCATTTGACATTTTCTGTGGTGATTGCAAGTAATATTTATTGCAAAGAACAAGTCACGCTGTGATGCAAATCAGATTGCAATAGTTGGCTTTTGACTTTTTCTCTAATTCCCTCAGTGTATGCAGCTGCTCTGATTACCCCTGATAAGCTAGATTAAGTCTTGCTCATTCTAACATGTCAGTTGTTCACTTCTAATGCGTCCTAATTATCAGCAAGTGGGCTGCCTTTGTCCGCGGTTAATCAGTACGGCTTTGTCACATGACATAAATGATTTTTTAGCTGTTATTAATAAAGAGAGAGTGATACCCGTGTCTCACTTAATAAATGAGATGGCTTCATGATGTAATTTTGTTTTCTGTTTCATCATTCTCTTCATCAGTGTTAGCCAATCATGTATTAGATTGAGGCCATACAAAAAAATGTTTCTGGTAACTTGCTACAAAACATTGGATACATGGGTAGATAGAGTTTTATTTTTTATTTAATATTGTTGGTTTTAGTTAAGATGTCAAAAATACTCCAACTGTGTCATCACAAATAATTTTTTGACACTAGCTAATTTGCATAAAATAATAAAAATTTAAGTAGGATGATTAGCAAAAGCCTTAAATTTAATTGATTAATATCTAACGAGTAGCTCAATTAATACCATCATTGTATGTCATTAGAGAGATAACAAAATACTTGCCACATAAAACAGTAGTTTGGTTTTAACACTGCATGCAATGTGTGTGCTAGTCACGCTTTATACAGAGAAACCAAATTTAATTAATTTTTGGAAGGAACATTTATTTATTTATTTATTTATTTATTTATTTATTTATTTATTTATTTATTTATTTATTTATTTATTTATTTATTTATTTATTTATTTATTTATTTATTTATTTATTTATTTATTTATTTATTTATTTATTTTATTTATTTTCAGTGTATAAGTAACTGTACTGTTTTCTTTTTCCTTCCCTTCCCTATCCAGTCAACCCCTTACCTCGGATGGCACCACCAGACAGCAGCAGGGATACAATGTGTAGGAGGATAATACATTTGCTTGTTTGTTTGTTCATTTCTCCTCTATATAGTATATATCTCTAAGAATTGATAACTTTATTCTTCTATACTAATCATCTTAACCTGATTTCATCTATTTTGCATGTCTAGGAATGTTCACACTTTTAATTCATGCAGCCAATCACCTCATAGTAATTTGTTTGCTACTATTACATTGAACTGCAATTTAGCTTTACAATTGTGTGCCACATGTGGTGGGATTCTCTTTCAACCTAATCTCGTACTTATTGTCACCGCCATATTGTTCCAAACACTAAAACAGCAACATTGCCTGCTAGGTTGCTGACTTGTTTGCTATGCATGCCTGGAGATTGTTACACGATTAAAAAAAGGTTGGGTCGAACCAACTAGGAGACTTGGAACTACTGGTAACAGTGAAGGATCCGAATACAAATTGAAGATGCAATTATCTTTGAATTGATTTCATCTAATCGTATGTTTTGCTGTATGGCACGCATTGTAATAGCCATATAGCACACTCTCGTTTGATCTAACCAATCACATAACGATCTTGCAACATGTACGGGTATTGCAAATTACTCATCTTAGCTGGCAATGTTGTTGTTTTTATTGTTAGGAACACTATATATTGATTCTGTTTCAACTGATGAGCTTAGGGAGTGGACAGAGAAATTACAGGGTCATGCAGTTTTAATAAAAGATAAAAACATTGATGACCATGACAGCAAAAATCATTGTGAATATCGATAGACAGTTTGAATTTGAATTATAAGTTTGGTTTTCATCATTCCCAGTGGTCATTTTCTTTTAATAAAATTCTTTCGGCAAGGTGTTTTTTTGTTTTTGTTGGTTTTACATGTAAATGCCACATCAAATGAACAAAATTGGATTCATTTCAATTTTCAGTGTACCGGTAACACAATAGTAATATTCCTAAATTTTATGTCCTGAAAGCTAATTTTGAATTCTGTTCACCTTTTTCCTGACAAGTTCATTTGACAATTATTTCGGAATAATATACTAGTATGTCACATTTACAATATGACCTTTCTGTTACTGGAGGAATGAATTGACAAACATCAATTCTTGCCTAGTATATTTTCTATGTAAAATCATATCAAATAATGGAATACTGTTACCAAAATGTTGTGAGCAAAAATAGATTTGCATTGTTTAACATCACTGAAAACTCTATATATTCATTGTAATATCAGTCCACTCCTTATCTGAGGCAGTCGAAAATCTATAAATACCTTGCAAACCAGATTCTACAAGCATGACTAATGCCATGTTGTACCTTTACCCACTGAAAAACAAAAAATTATATTATTTGGTCTAAAAAGCAAATTAGACTAGAAATTGTGTCTGGATTAAGGTTATACTATTATATGCGTGTTTTTCCACAGTCTCGTATACACTGGTAAATTATTGATCGATTAATTAATTATCATCTTTATATTATATCATCACATTCACCATGTGCTTGGTTTATTGCACTTTGCTGGCAATTACATCTATAATGGTATTCAGTGCACCCATTAAATCATTTATAAATGCATCCAGCATCGATGTAACCACATGATTAAAATCTACATGTATTTTAAAAATTCAATTTTTCTGGTCACAGCTGTTACTCTCAGATTTCTATCACTCATTGCAGATTATATTTCTACATTCTGTTTGTGCTTTAAATATTCATATTTATTATGCATTAAAACTTTGATTTGTTGACTTTAATACGAATGGTGATCAGAGATTTTTAGCGACTATGTTTGTTTTTTATAATGTAAGTGTACAGATATCATTATTAGTGACCATGTGCGAATGTACTTTCAAATTGGCAGTGGCTGTGAATCACAGTTAGGATATGACAAAATGAAACACAAATATCAAATGTTGCTTTCAGAATTTTTAACTTAAATTCTTGGAATGTATTATAATTCTAGAAATCTGACATGCACTAATTGTTTTATTTATCAAGACATGTTTAATTTTCTAGTTTGGAGAGCAGGCTATGCAATTCACTAGTTTTAAGCCGGTTTTAAGACATATTTTCAATAGAAATGACTAAATATGAGAAGGACATCTCCCAAATTGGCTACCTTCTCCTATCTTCTGTAACATAGATACAAACCATGCTATTGTTCCATCCAGGTTCATACCTGGGTTAACCAGGTACAACCCCCCCCCCCCCCTATAATTTCAATTCAATTTAGGGCCGCGTAACCGTAGTATTTAACAAATTACGGTATATATACCATACTAGAATCTTTTCTTTTATGCATTGTCAGTATACTTTGTAGTGCCCACTTCCTAATTATCTGTTGCTCTATCATCTTCAATTTAAATTTTAAATACATCATCAGTTATTTAATTTATTCCTGTGTATACCCTTTATCAGGGACCAATAGACTACTAAGTGAACTAGATTAAATTACTTTAGTTTTCTATTTTAATTACATTTATAATTTAATTAATAACTCTAGATTTTATTTTTTGTCACCATGATGATTGGTAATCCACTTAAGGGATCTTTTTCTTAGAGTACTATATTTCATTCTAATGAAAGTTTGTTTATGAATTAATTTGAATCAAAATAACACCTGAACAAATATTTATTTTTTATTTTATATAAAATATTCAAGGTGGACACAATTGTTTTATGGGGACCACTCCAAAGACGATACAGGAAGGCCCATAAATGATGAAGATGATGAAGAAAGTGCATCTCTGCGGGCACCGCATCAGGAGGATCAGGTATAGTTACACGATTGAAATTAAAATTAAAGTTATTATTGTTGTATGTTTTCATTGGCAGTGTACAATTAAGCAATAAACCACCGCCGGAGGCGGGTATACCACGAGATATTGCACAATTCACAACATATATGTATGTTTTCATTGGCAGTGTACAATTATGTTTAATCCATCCGATGTTAAGTCATGATTAAGTCATGATAAGAGTCATGATTTTGAGTTCTTTTTTATCTTTCCTGCATTGTAAATGTCTGTCCTCATTGTTGTCATTTGCAAAGTAATGTTTTGTTTCTTCAACTGTTCCTATAAAAACTGTTTGTTCTAAATTAGTGTTCAACCATAGGTCAATGAAGAAAAATCAAACGCAATTTTTAAGAACCAAAAAAAAAGCCACATGCAATTTAGTGATTGGTCAGACATTTCGTGGCAGATAAATTACAAAAATAATTATTTGGTTGAATTTTTAGATGAAGGGTAAATATTTGTCTGTTACAGCAATATTAATTGAGAAACATGAGTATAAAACAATGATGGTGTCATTATGATGACCACATTGTTCATTTTTGAACAAAATTGTTTTGACCTAAATTTAGATGTATTTTTTTTTTTCAGAACTTTTTTTTATATTTGCCATGCAAAAAAATAATCATACCAAGCAAAGAGTACTTTGTTAGTTTGTATCAATTTTGAATTCTTAATCTTTATTTAATCTATAGATGCTCAATGGGCAAGGTAATAGTTACGTCATGTTTTATTTTTTTTTATTTTCAGGGCTTCTGTTCATGGATCCCGTCAATATTTAAAATCAAGTAAGTTTTATAACCATAGGAATTACAATCTAAGTACGCTCTTATTTTCTTGCAATACATAAAAACAAAACAAAAATTTTCATAACTGTACAAGTTTTTCTGTTGGTGTAGTCAGTTATTCCAGACTACCACTTTTGTCATGGGACAAAATTACCAATTACAAAAGTAGAATTTGGTGTTCAAAAAGTTTAAACATAAGCTTTATTGGACAACTATATTTTCCCGTGGATGATTATTAAGTTCATGCATTGATTAAATCATAGACATGTCATAAGCTATATCAGCTGTAATTGATGAAGACATGTTTACCGTTGTCTTCCAGAGATGAGCATATCAGAGCCAAATCAGGTGTAGACGCACTGCAGTACATCTCATTCCAGAGATACATAATCTGTCT